TTTTTTTTTTCTCATTTTCTTTTCTATAACTCTAAATTTGGGACTTAGTAATATAGAGCAACTATTCCGTCGAGTTTGTAACTGTTAAGGTAAATCATGTAAATTGAATCATATTTCATTTAATTTGATTTGCTAAACTTCATTACCTTCTAAGTATTTACCATAAAGGTGCTAATGTCTTTTGTTTAGAGAAATTTGTTTTTCTTTTTGTTTAATGCTTATAAATTAAACGAGCATGACTCGGCTCAGTTCGAGTTTAACTCGTCAAGGTTCGACTGTGGGCCCTATTGGAGATGTTTTTCCGAACTTGGAACCCTCTCGTCTTCGGGGTTTGGGGCGGGATCTTACGGAGTTAGAGATTCTTACGGCTCTTAAGAAGATGGCCCCTCTTAAATCACCCGGAATAGACGGCCTTCATGCTATATTCTTTCAGCAAAAATGGCACCATGTTGGCCGAGCAATCTGCGCGCTACTTAAGGATATTTGGGGTGGGGGCCCGTTCCCATCGTCACTCAATAAAACGCTTCTGGTCCTAATACCAAAGGTGGCTAATCCAGTGTCTCTGAAGCAATTCAGACCGATCAGCCTTCTCAACGTCACTTATAAACTGATGACCAAGGTATTGGCGGAGAGGATGAAGCCGCTTCTTCCCTCCCTAATTAATCCAGCACAGACGAGCTTTGTCCCAGGGCGCCACATCACGGACAATATTGTCATCGCCCAAGAGCTCATTCACTCGATGCGTGGACTCAAGGGGAAGAAGGGTTTTATGGTAGTGAAGGTGGATCTGGAAAAAGCCTACGATTACCTTCGCTGGGCTTTCATCCGTGAGACGTTGGAGCTTGCTGGATTTCCTAGTGTCTATGTGGATGTGGTAATGTCTTGCGTGTCGTCGGCCACCATGCAACTGTTGTGGAATGGAGAGGCTAGTGAGGAATTTATCCCGTCTCGAGGTATTCGCCAGGGCGACCCCATTTCGCCTTATCTGTTTGTCTTATGCATCGAGAGGCTGACACACATGATTGATAAGTCAGTGGCGATTGGCGAGTGGACACCGATCACGGTTGGGCGGGGCCAGGTGGCGATACCCTATTTAATGTTTGCCGACGACCTCCTACTATTCATTGAGGCAAATCGGGCCCAGGCGGATTGTTTGAAGGGCATTCTCCAGCAATTTTCGGCGGCATCGGGCCTCAAAGTGAGTGAGCCCAAGACACAAGTCTTCTTTTCCTCTAATGTGGAGAAATCCTTCCAATCGTCTTTGGCTCATCGATTAGGATATCAGGTGGTGGACAATCTGGGGAAGTATTTGGGCATGCCTCTTATTCATAGCCGAGTGAATAAAGATACTTACGCTGAGATACTGGAAAAAGCGGATAACAGGCTGGCCGGATGGAAAGCATCGACTCTCTCCATGGCTGGTCGGGTAACCCTTGCTCAGGTAACCCTTAATTCTCTCCCTTATTATTCCATGCACACGGTTTCGCTTCCTTATGGGGTGTGTGATAGTCTGGAGCGCAAATGCCGAAACTTTGTATGGGGAGGCACCTCACATTCTCGAAAAGTTAGCCTGGTCTCATGGTCGGAAGTCTGTCGACCAAAGGATGAGGGTGGCCTTGGGATGAAGGAGCAACGCTTGATGAATAAGGCCCTCCTCATGAAACTCGCTTGGAAGTTTCTCTCTGAACCGTCTCTTTTGTGGTGCCGGGTTCTTCGGGCTAAGTATCGGCTGCATCCCATGGCTATGGGTGAGGATTTCCAGTTTCCATCTGGCTCGACGATCCTCCGGTCCATTCGCAGCGTGTGGAAGGACACTCTCGCGGGGAGTCGATGGTTGGTGGGCGATGGCCGAACCGCGAGGTTTTGGTGGGATAGGTGGCTCCATGTCCCTATCCTGCTAATCCAAGTGGCAACGGGTCCGGTTCCAGAGCACCTACTCCACGCGCCGGTGGCGGCTTTCGTCAAGACGACTGGTGGCTGGAATTGGTCTCTATTCGAGGCTATATTGCCGGCTTCTTTCCTGTTACGTATCTCTGCTCATGTTCCTCCGCAGGTGAATGAGGGTGAGGATCGGGTATATTGGGGTCTATCGGCAAATGGGCAGTTCTCGACGCGATCTGCTTATTCGGCAGTTGCGCAGCCGATCCAGGGTCATACTGATCGTTTGTGGGCACTCATCTGGAAGTGGTCGGGACCTCAGCGGGTGCGACAGTTCATGTGGTTGGTGGCCCGGGAGAGTTTACTTACCAATGCTAATCGCTTTCGACGTCATATGTCGTTATCCCCGACGTGTCCTCGTTGTCAGGTGGCAGAAGAATCGACGATGCACGTCTTGCGCGACTGTCCAGTGGCGGCGGATACATGGCGGTCTCTAGTTCCAAGGGACTGCCTCCATGCGTTCTTTTCCCAGGATATGCACGGGTGGTTATCGAGTAATCTTTCTGGTGAGCTTAGTCGAATGCGGGATAATTGGAACTGTCTCTTCGGACTCACGGTGTGGCGTATTTGGAAATGGCGTAATTTACAGATTTTCCAAGGGATCGTTACTCCAACTTCACGACGGGTAGGCGAGGTATTAGGCTATGCGGAGTCGGTGCGGAACAACATTGCTAACTGCCGCAAGGTGGGGGTGTCTGGAATCCGGGATATGAGGTGGATCTCATGGGAATGCCCGGCGGAGGATGAGCTTAAGGTAAATACCGATGGTAGTTTTGTTCCGGCTACGGGGATGGCTAGTGCAGGGGGTGTTATTCGCGATCATCGGGGGAAATGGGTGGCTGGCTTCTTGATGAACATTGGTTATTGCTCAATTGTCGGAGCAGAGTTGTGGGGCCTTTTACAAGGCCTCCAGCTAGCGTGGGACACCGGAGCGCGTAAGATTCGGGTAGAAGTTGATAACAAGTCTATTCTGAACATGGTTCAAGACGATAGCCTTACTGGTCCCCATGGGAGCATCTTAAGGAGCATACGAGAACTTTTGGGTCGTCCATGGGTCATTCATCTTTGTCATATCCATCGTGAAGCCAATTTCGTGGCAGACTATCTGGCGTCACTTGCGGCTAAGAGTCCGGGGAGCTTGACTAGATTGGATAGCCCGCCGCCGGGCACGGGTATTTGGCTACAACATGATTTGGCGGGTGTGTCTTATCCCCGCCGGTTTTAACTTAGGCTAGCGTTAGCCTCCTTCTCTTGTACAGACAAAAAAAAAAAAAAAACACCTCCAAATGCTTCGAGCTAACAATCTCCGGCGCTCCATCCACGCCGTCCTCCGCCGCCGCCTCAACCACCCCTCCGCCGCATCACACCCTCCCGGCCCACGACCCTTCTGCTCCACCTCCGCGCCACCTCCGCCTCCGCCGCCGTCCTCCACCTCCGACGCCGAGCTCCGCAAGTACATCGGTTACACCGCCCTTGTACTCGGCTGCGCCGCCGCCACGTACTACTCCTTCCCCTTCTCGGAGGATGCCAAGCACAAGAAGGCCCAGCTCTTCCGGTACGCCCCCCTCCCGGCCGATCTCCACACCGTGTCCAACTGGAGCGGCACGCACGAGGTCCAGACCCGCACGTTCCTCCAGCCCGAGTCCGTACCCGAGCTCGAATCGGTGGTCAGGGAATGCAATGAGAAGAAGCAGAGGATCCGGCCCGTCGGGTCGGGCCTCTCTCCGAACGGGATCGGTCTGACCCGTCTAGGGATGGTGAATTTGGCGCTGATGGATAAGGTTTTGGAGGTGGACGAGAAGAACAAGAGGGTTAGGGTTCAGGCGGGGATTAGGGTTCAGCAGCTTGTGGATGGGATCAAAGAGTATGGGCTTACTCTGCAGAATTTTGCTTCCATTAGGGAGCAGCAGATTGGGGGCATTGTGCAGGTGCTGAAATCTTTAGTATTATTCTTTTGAAAAAGATTACCGAACTTTTTCCGGACTACCAATATATGAATGTGAGTATCTATATTGAATAATGTTGGTAGGATAGTCTTTTTTTTCCTTAAGAATCAGTGTTCATATAGTTTCATTACCCTTTACATTTCCTTGTGAAATGATAAAAAATTGGCCTTTTGATTTTGTTCTGTTCCATTTTCGCAGAGATAGTGTAGAAAAGTTGTTTGGAAAATGTAAAATAAATTTTGGTTGTGTGATTGATTATGAAATGAAAAAAGTTGGCCTTTTGATTTCATTTTGTTCCATCTTAACGGAGAATGGTGTGGAGAACAAATGAAGTTTGATTGTGCCGTTGATTACAAAATGAAAATGTAGTAATGATGGTTGGTATTGATTGGTTCTGAGTTAAATATTGGTTGAATTCAGTTGGCGATTGGAAAAGTAAGAGCTTCAATATTTGATGTGGTGTGTTTCTTAACTAAAGTGATGATAGATGATGAGTGAGTGGTGGAAATAAGATCTACTGTATGTTTCCTTGGAAAATTTTTTGGATTTCATATTTTTCCTTCAAAAAAGGTTGAGAACAAATTTTATAAAATGAGAATGCAAGCTATCACAGCATTAGTTTTCAAATCTGATGAAGGATGAGCAGTGTTACTTGTGCTCTAAAGTTGCACTTTTCTGTGTATCTGTGCGCACGTGACATTAGATTTCTCTCTGGTGGTCTTCTACTCTTCTTAGCATCACATCCAAATTTCGAGGAAAAATAAGATCAGTAATATTTTGCTGATGGATTAGGTAGAGATTATTTCCTTCAGCATATGTGGCTATGTGATTTGTCTATTATTTGTCTGATGTGTATTGCCAAAAAAATCTCAGGTTGGGGCTCATGGCACTGGTGCAAGGCTTCCACCAATAGACGAGCAGGTTATCAGCATGAAGCTGGTTACTCCAGGCAAGGGCACAATAGAGGTCTCCAAAGAGAAAAATCCGGAGCTGTTTTATTTAGCTCGATGTGGTCTTGGAGGGCTTGGTGTAGTTGCAGAGGTTACTCTACAGTGTGTCGAGAGGCAGGAGCTTGTGGAGCACACAAGTGTATCAAACATGAAGGAGATTAAGAAGAATCATAAGTAATGTGTTTTTTTTTTTTTTTTTCTCACCTTCTGTTGTCAAAAGTATAATTCATCAACCAACAATGGTGAATACTTCATTTTAGGTTAGCTTTATGAGTGTTCGGAACAAACAATATGCATGCATATTTTCTTCATTTGATCATTCTAGAATTTGATTCTGCTCTATATTGCTATTTTCAGAGTTTTTTTGTGCTTTGTGGAGTAACCTTTCATTGTCGGTGGGCTAGATTTTGATTTGAACTTGTGTTTTTTACAACGATTTCAGTTTAAACTGTATTTGGATATTCCATATTCAAAATGATATACATAAGGCTGCACTGTGTTTTATCAGATATTGGTCGTGTGAACCAATGTGGGAGCTCATGCAAATGCATGGTGTAAAATTTTTATCTCCTAACCAGTAAATTAAATGCTCCTGTTTTCTTTTTTCGCAGGAAACTTCTGTCCGAAAATAAGCACGTCAAATACCTGTATATTCCATATACCGACACAGTTGTGGTTGTGAAGTGTAATCCTATTTCTAAATGGAAAGGTCCTCCAAAGTATAAACCCAAGTATACTCAGGAAGAAGCTGTACAGCCCGTGAGAGACCTTTATCGAGACTCTTTGAAGAAATACAGGTAGAAAAACTCGTAACTTCTAATCACACCTACTAAATTGACAGAAGTTTTTAAACAATTTTATTACAAGTATCTTTACAGAAAAGAACTCGTCGCATCAGAGTCTCCTGATGGTAATGAACCGGAAGATATCAACAAACTTTCGCTCACCGAACTTAGAGACAAGCTACTTGCTTTGGATCCTCTGAATAAAGAACACATCGTGAAGGTGAATCAATCGGAGGCCGAGTATTGGAGAAAATCGGAGGGTTATCGAGTGGGGTGGAGTGATGAAATCTTGGGATTTGATTGTGGTGGCCAACAATGGGTCTCTGAAATATGCTTTCCAGCCGGGACTCTATCGAAACCTAGTATGAAAGATCTAGAGTACATAGAAAAACTTATGGAAATTATCGAGAAGGAAAATATTCCGGCACCTGCTCCGATCGAGCAGAGGTGGACAGCTAGCAGCAAGAGCCCCATGAGTCCAGCTTATAGTTTATCGGGGGACGACATATTTTCTTGGGTAATTTCTCTCATTATCGGTGGTTGATTAAAAGCTTGACTTTTCAGTTAGGCTATGTTTGGTAAACATAACTGATAAGCTAGCTTATAGCTTTTAAGTGAATTTCGAGCTTATAGTCTATAGCTTATGACTTACAGCTGAAAAACTAACTTATATGATATAAGTGTTTGGTAAAATTAGCGCTGAAATAAAAAATTTAACGAGCTTATTTGAAGCCTACACAAAAAATTTTACGAGATAAGCTTGAGCTTTTTTTTTTTTTTTTTTAAAAAAAAAAACTCATCCTACCAAACTAAGTTTATTTAAATACATGAAGCTTATAAGCTAACCAAATAAGCTATAAGCTAGCTTATTTGGTTATCAAACATAGAATATATCTTATATCTGGTGGATTAGATACTACATATGAATATTTACGTCGTTTGTAAACAGGTTGGTATAATCATGTATCTCCCAACAACGGATGCTCGTCAGAGAAAGACAATTACTGAAGAGTTCTTTCACTACAGGCGTTTGACACAAGAAAAACTGTGGGATCAATATTCAGCCTATGAACATTGGGCTAAGATTGAGGTAGCGAACAAGTTTCATTTTCTGTGCTGATCACTTTTGTTTTTACGTGTGGTAGGCAAGGCAAATTTTCACGAGGGTTCATGGGGAAAAATTCGATCATTTCATGTGTAAACATTAATCTATAACTTGCACATAGGTCCCGAAAGACAAAGACGAGCTTGCTGCTTTACAAGCAAGACTTAGAAAGAGATATCCTGTGGATGCTTATAATGAAGCGAGAAAGGAGCTCGACCCGAACCACATCCTCTCTAACAATATGCTCGAGAAGTTATTTCCCATAACCGAAACTGTATGATGAGCTCTAGAAATCCTTGGTTAGTATGTTTGTTTGCAGACTTGCTGCTGTGTGTCTCTTTAATGAATGTTTTGGACAGAATGAAAGTTCTTCACAACTGTTAGCATGTTATTCAAAATGCTCATATTTCAAGTTAAATAATCTTTTACCATATTTTTTGTAGATAATCTATTTGTAAGAATTTTACCTTTAAACAGTGCTGAATGATTTGTTCATCTGAGAATTCTTTTAGTTGTTGGCATGAAAGCGGTACACATATGGAGTGTGTCGTGTATTCAATGGAATGAAATAATTAAAATATGGAATAGGAAATGTCACTCTAATTATGTGGGCTCCCAAAAAATTAGGTTGTGTTAACTTTTAGGGAAATGCTAAGGTCTCGCTACGGTACCATTTCGTCGGGTGTTTAACGGTTAAAACACCCAACGGGATGTACAGGACTGTATACTCAAAATGCTTGCGACAATCAATATGTTGAACCTCATGGTCCACTGTATATAAATTATACTCATGTAATGTGGCATGGAATCTATATACATATAAAAAGGTTTGACATTTACCTAAAATAGTAATTGAATTCCCGCCTAAATAATTTGTTTTTACTTATATTAGTAACTTTTTTAAATATTTTTTGAAAATGGCGGTAAATAATTTAAAATTCAAATTAAATAAATCAATCTAATTAAGGTACATAATCATTATGCTAAATATGACACAGTTACCATTGAAATGAGCAAATATTTTAGGTAACTAAATATTTTATTAAGATCTTTATATAAATGTTACATATAAAAGATCTCATATTCCCCTCTTTCACCTCACCCTCCGTCAAAATTTTCTCCACCGCTGTCGTCGCTCCTCCAAATTCCGAACCCTTCGCATCAAACCCGCTACTGACTCAACACATCCTTGAAATTGGCACGTCCTCTTCCGCCGACGCCAATCACAACTCCCGGCTCAAATCAATTACGTATTCCAGCGGCTTCAAACTTTTACTCCCCATACCTGGAAGAATTGATGCCGGGTCCCGAGCGGGAGGATAGAGATTCAGAGAAAAAGAAGAGAATTTGCGATTTCGAAAATGAAGAAGGCGGTGGATACATAAGTTGAAGAAAAGACAAACGAAATAAAAAAAAATGTTGTAAATAATAAGGAAAAAAAAAGTAGCGTACAAAAGAATGAAGCGTGAAGGTGACATGAGGAAGAGCTTGATCAAATGGGACCATAATCAGAAAAAAATTAGCAGTAGTTTTTTTCTTGATGTGATGCATATCTTTTTTTATTTTTATTTTTTACTTTGAGAAGGTGAGTTTTTGTTTTTGTTTTTATTTTTATTTAATTTTATTTATATATATTTTGTATGTGTTCTTTTGTGAGAGATTATAGAACTGCGTGGCCGTATAGCAAAGAACTTAGGAATTTGTCACCAAGTTTGTGTATAGTGTGGTACACTGCTCAGCTTGAAGTGGAAAACCATATTTTTTTTTTAATTATGAGTTGTATTTATAAAATGCTTACATATGGCAAATCAATCTGTGTCACTTATTTTACTTTTGTTTTATTTCTTTAGTTTTTTGGTTTTACAACTCAATTATTTTTGCACTTTATATAGCAATTTACATCATTGTTACTATTAACAGATACTACCTCCTATTTTAAATAGATGTCGTTTTGGGATGTTGCACATCTATTAAGAATATTTTTTTGTCAATAATAACCTTATTTAATGAAGATAGAGATGAATGTTTTGAGAAAAAAATGAAGAGTGATTATGAAAAGACGTGATGTATTTATTAGCTAAATGGGGGTAATGATGGAAAAATATGTACAAAATATCTAAAATGACATTTATTTAGCAAATAGTTGATAAAGTTAGAATGACATTTAAAAGAAATAGGAGGGAGTAATTAAAAAAAAATGTTGGGGACACATGAATAAAATTTAGGGTTATTCTTGGTAAATTGAATTGATAGTATCATAGTAGTAAGTTAGTTGATAGCTTTAGTGGATTTCAATTTTATAGTTATATATCATATAGTTGAAAGTTGAGACATTAGCTGATATAATATGTCAAATAAGTTGATAAATCAATTATAATTAATAATTTCATTGAAAAACTAGAAGTTTATGAGATAAGTCTTAAAAAAATATATATTTGGTCACATCGAGGTTATCTTACTAGCGCATAACCCGTGTGATGCACGGAAAAACAATATTAATTATAATATTAAATGGAATATACGTTAACACATAACATGTACAGAATAATCGAACACAAATTTGAGGTTGAATACAAGAATTACTTGAAAATCATATTTCAAGATGAGGATTTCTGACATGTCCTCCCAATTATTTTAAAGGGGAGTTATCAGGATATTGTGAATGCTGGAATTAATTTATTCGAGGTACGGTCTGATTGTACTGTGTTGAGACTTACAGAAAATATGGGCTTTCAGAGCATTGGTGATTCAGATGAATGCAATGAGCTAACAAATTTTGCTAATTAGATAGCGAGCATGAAAGATGGAACCATTGGGAGATCCAATGATGGATGTGACTTGACAGACATATCTGATAATATATTGTCGAAGTCTACTAATGATCTTATCACTGCAATTGTTGAGAGCACTCATCCAATATTTAAAGATACAAGCGACGATCTTGGTTATTTGAAGGATAGAGCTATACTAGCTCAAACGTTAGAGGTGGTCGAGTCTACGAATGAGTACATGACATCTTTGAAACGTGATTTATGGTCAAACATACTTGAGCTCTTATAGTACGTACAAATATGATTCCAATAATGATATTTTTGTCCGATCTCCACACCCCCGAGTTGTTTAATATTATCAGATGTTCTGGAGTGCCGAACCATGAGTTGAATATGAAGATAGGAATCACACTCATGTTGCAGAACATTGACCATTCTATGATGTTGTGCAATGGTACGAGATTGATTATCACAAAGATCTTCACTCATATACTTGAATATATGGTATTTGCATGATCTAATGCAGGAGAGAAGGTGTTGATCCCTCGAATGACACATTCATACGTTAGAGCACCTTTCAAATTTCTGCAGAGGCAATTTCTCCTAATGGCTTTTATGCCACGACGATCAACAAGAGCAAGAGTAAGTGATGTAGGGAAAAAGCGTACAAATGGGAAGATGAAAGAGGAGATACTCTCTCCAGAACACGGGATACTCTCCCAAAAGAAAACACGATCAATTATTTTCATTCATCAAATTCAACTGAATAAACAATAGATGAGGAGTCATTTAAATAAGGCTCATAATCCTATTCTTAACTTGTCCAACAAGACAAGATCTCTTATAATAATATTAGATTTCTAACTTATTCTCTAAGATACCTATAATAATAATAACAATAATAATAATAATAATAATAATAATAATAATAATAATAATAATAATAATAATAATAATAATAATAATAATAATAATAATAATAATAATAATCATCTACACCATTCTCCCCTGGTTCGGAAGGCTTCGCCCTCGAAGCCGATGCGCATCCGTGGCCGGTGTATGGTGTCGAACCCATGATAGTAAACCCCTGCCGTTTCCCCCGATCGAACACGAAGGTTGAATACCTCACCTCCATAGTATTGCCCCCTTGAAATTCATATAAAGGCATATATGCTGCAGTCACACACAGAATATTGAAGTCACCGTGGGGACCAAAAAACAGGTTGCCAGGTCGCAACAAATTCTCATGGGAGAAAAGCTCGGGCCTGCGCAATAGAAGAACTATTTCTTCCAACAACTGAATTTTGAAACTCGAAACATGATGGTAATCCTCTAGCCCTGGAGGCTCCTCAACGAAAATCGGCGGATCGTCGTAGAGATCGTCCACTTTGTCGGGAAGACGATCCTCCACCTCTTCGGGTCCTTCATCAAACACAGGCGGACCATCGTACAATGACCCGTCAACTTGCTCTTCACCGAATTTGGAGATGTCAACGCGAAACAGGCCCTCCCACGGACCAAATTCACGATCAAGTCCCCAATCGTGTCGGGCACGATATCTGCCAGCGAAGGCTGCCTCCTCGCGCCAACCCCTATCGCTTCCTTGATCGTCGCCGTCCACGAAGCCGTTCAGAGGTGGCGGGAACCACTGTCGGGGCGCCCCGACATGGCTGCGTCCCCCACAACCGCCTCTGTCTCCCCCGCGAAAGCCACGGCCCACAGCCCCATCGCGGTTCGTTTGCAATCCGAAAAAACCACGTTGTTAAGCGTCAAATGCAAAACCTCGATCCCCGTCGAAAGATCGGCAAACCAATCTGTGAAACGCACGTCCAACTCTTGAAATCGGTAGTCAATCTGTTGAAACCGATCGTTGAAGGTTGCGTCACGTTGTTTGTTTGCGGCATCTTGTCGTCCCGGCGGCATCGCGATCGTACTGACTGCTGATACCAACTGATGTAGGGAAATAAACGAATGGGAAAGATAAACGAGTAAACGAGATACTCTCTCGTAAAACACGTAAAAATCAACAATATCTTTTTTCATTCAAAATCAACTGAATAAAACAATAGATGAGGAGTCCTTTAAATAAGGCTCATAATCCTATTCCTAACTTGTCCAACAAGACAAGATCTCTTATAATAATATTAGATTTCTAACTTATTCTCTAAGATACCTATAATAATAATAATAATAATAATAATAATAATAATAATAATAATAATAATAATAATAATAATAATAATAATAATAATTAAAGATTCTAAACATCCTTATCTCCATCAGTAAGTCTTTATTACATCTTCACATGATTTCTAAGAAGTCGGTGTTCAGTCACGACCAGTTTTATGTAGTTGTATCCCGCGTCACCAACGAAAGAGCTTGAAAATACTAGCTTGCGGGAGAACTGTGTGCCTACAAGGCAAAAAATATCGTCTACAATAAGGTTTTTAATAATATAATATCATTTTTTATTCTATTTATTTAATTTTTTATTCACAAATATAGTAATAAGGTTGGGTAAATAGTCTTAGAACTGTCCACCCCGTGCATCGCACGGGATTCGTACTAGTTTGATATACTAAAGAAGTTTATCAATTGTCTTAAAAATAAATATGCGAACATAAAACATAAATATATTCTAGAAAAAAAAACGAATTATCCTATTAACATCCATAATATTCATTACATTATTCTACTATGGTATCCAGAATACTACGATCATGTAAAATCACTTAAAATCCTCCAAAATTAATTGTAATAAGTTGTTAGTTTTGTGAGATATATAAATTATCATCTGAATACTAGGATCATGTAAAATTACTTAAAATCTTCCATAATAAGTTGTTCAAATCCATTCTAGTTTTGTGAGATATATAAATAGGCTGACAGAATAGTTTATAAATAGACTGACAGAATAGTTTATAAATAGTTAAGTTTGTATAAATTTAATATGATATACAAGAATAAAATCAAGTTTTTGGTATATAAATGATGAAGGTTAACATGTAAAATGAAGTAAAAATGGATAGTACTCAAACTCAGGGCGGGCGGGCTCTTAAAATGTCACACAATAATCAGTACACATGATTATTATACTTGGACTTAGCCAGCTAAAGACTTGTTTCGAACAGTTGTATCCAATTTTTGTATTAAATTTTTTAAAAAATTAATCCGTTTTGCCAAATTTATTTATCAATTGACTTATTATATGTGTTGAGTGTTGATAAAAGTATTAATTGTTCAATTTTAATTATGTTATTCTATTTTTCGCCAAATTTGCCACCTTTTTTTATAATGTATTATTCTATTTTCAATGTAATAGAAAGGAATAACAAATTCTTATTATGAGTTACTTACATACATTTAATTATTAGTTATTATTAGTAAATAATTTATTTTTCTCTTACATTTATTATAATTGTTATATTTTCATTATATATCTATATATAAAGAGAAAGTTTTAAAAAAATAGTAAGAAAAATAGACAGTAACATTTACTGTATACCTTATTTGAAAACTCAACTTTTGTAAAAGCAAACACAAGGTTTTACTATTATAGTCACCAAGTCCGTTCCTAGAAATTTGAAGAAATGAAGTCTCGACGCACTTCACTAATTATTTTTGTAAAAAATTAATTTAATTGATAGCCAAAAAAAAAAA